CTCACAGCTCATGATGCTTGTCTGTTCTTAAGATGGAAAGCACACACCTGTGTTTTAGATTGATTAGGAATCAGTTGGTTTTCCCTGTAATAGGCAGTAAGGGCACCTAGAGCTTCAGAGAGCTTCTGTTCAACAACTTCAAAGCTCCCTGATTGAGCGGTGATGGTGCGGTCGTCAGCATAGATGAAACTCTCTGTCCCTTCTGGCAGTGGCTGGTCATTTGTGTAAGTGTTAAACATGGATGGAGCAAGCATGCTCCCCTGAGGCGGGCCATTCTTCTGTCTTCACCACCTGCTTCTCTGACCTTGGAACTCAACAAAAAAGCTCCTGTTTTGTAGCAGATGTCCTATGAAGTGGGTGAGTTGGTTGTCCTTTGTGATATTGTAATTTTTTCTCAGGAGAAGGCGATGATTTACAGTGTCATATGCTGCTGACAAGTCTATGAAGACAGCTTCTGCATTCTGCTGCCTTTCAAAACCATCTTCTATGTGCTGAGTCAGGTTCAACACTTGTGATGTGCAGCTTTTCCTTTTTTCTGAAAAGAATCGACACTTATGCTCCTTACAATGAGTTCCACAGTGCATCCATCCTGAGAGAAAGGATTATCAGAGATGGAGCCCAAAACATCTGGAGAACTTCATGTTTGGGGTGGTCATGAGAGTGGTTGAATAGAGGAACACACTGTCCAGGAGTCCAGTGGAAGCTCCTTCCTTGGAGGTTTTGAAACCAAGGCTGGATGACCATCTATCAGGAGTGCTTTGATTGTGTTTTTCCTGCATGGGAGACGAAGGTTGGACTGGATGGCCCATGGGGGTCTTTTCCAACTCTATTAGTCAATGATAGTGGATGCCAGCGTGACATGTGAGAGAGGGAATGGGACTTCATGCCAAACTAGAACTTTTCAAAGGGACTCGATGAACAAAACATTGTGTGAAGCAGAGAAACAATGAAGAAGAAAGCTCTTTTCCTATCCCACCAGCTACTGTCTTCTAAGTTGTACGATGCTATGATTCAATTCCCAAGAGCATCCATATCCTGTACGAGGGTTGAATGAAAAGTAATGCTTCCACCTTTGTAACTCAACAGATGGCAGTACTGGTATGCGGCAGGTACTGGCTTGTTCAGTAGATTCTCCTCTACAGTTCCATTTTGAAAGAAAGGAGGGAAGATCCAAGTTCCAGGGACCTCCATTTCAGATTTAATGAAAAAAACTGCCTTAACTCCAATGGGGGAAGAAGAAAGGAGGGAAGAAAGGAGATCCAGAGACCTCCATTTTGTAGTTTTGAACTGCCTTGACCTTTGGAGAAGGAAAGGAGAATCAGTCTCATATGGGGGTGTGACAATTAGGCAAGAAAAACATAAATACTATTTTTGGGAGCCAAACAATGGGGGTGTGACCATTATGTGGTGAAATATGGTATTTTGTCAGAAATGTGCAGGTACCAGTACTGCTGATATGGCAATCATACTATATCTTATGAGGGTTGAATGAAAAGTAATGTCTTCACCTTCGTAACTCATAAACAGATGGCAGTATTGGCATGCAGCAAGTACTGGCTTGTTTAGTAGACTCTCCTCTACAGTTCCATTTTGGCGGGAAGCCTTAGCATTGAATGGTTGTGTTGTTAAAGTACGAAGCACGGAACCCTGTGCAGATGGTCGGTCAATGCTACTTAAGCAACGTGCAGTCATTGAATTCTTGACAGCACAAGGTGTCACCCCAAAGGAGATTCATCAGAGAGAATGCAAGCTGTTTATGGTGAGAACTGTGCGTTGTTGGGCGAGTAAGTTTAAAGATGTTGAGGTGGGAACATCTGACTTGTGTGACAAACAAAGAGTTGGATGTTCTGTGACAGCAACCACAGAGTTTCACAAGCAAAAAGTTGACAGATTGAGTCAGGACGACCATCGTATCACTCAGAGAGAAATGTCAAGCATAATCAGCATTTCACAATAATGTGGGGGTCACATTATTGTTTGATTGTTTGCTTAAAAATGCAATACAACTGTTTGGTTTGCTCCTGACACGATAAATAAATAAATATTATTGCTTTGCTTGGCTATCGGAAGATCTGTGCACAATGGGTACCCAAGGTGAGAGAACTGTGAGGCGCTGGTTGTGGAAACAGAGTGTCGACTTTTTCCGTGACGGCTTCAGAAAACTTGTTCATCGTTGGCAGAAATGTACCCAATTGTCTGGTGATTAAAGTGAATAGTGGTAGTTAAAGAGCACATTCTAAGGATGATTTCTGCGTTTGGTTTATTAAAATATTCCCATCCAAACCCAAGTAACGAAGGTGAAGGCATTACTTTTCATTCAACCCTCGTGTATATATCTATCCCCTACCTTCTCCCAACCGACAATTCATTTCTTTTATAGGTGAGAAGCGCAATGCCGTTTCCCCGATTTTTCACACCATAAACACGCCGCCTTTCCCCCCGCTGGAAGGGGTTTTATTTGTTTTGAGGTCAAGCTTCCCAAATGAGTGAGCAAAAAGCTGGGCGCGTGATCACGCCGCTGTGAAATGCGCATTTGCATTTTCAATCTAGTAATTCACACTTGCAAACAATGAAATTACCTCTGACGGTCGCAAAAGAAAGTGGTTGCTATCATTACCTTCCCCTCCTTCATGCCTATGTGGGCTTGGCATGGCAAGAATTATGCATACATAGGAAACAAAGGAGGGGAAGGAAGAAAATCTGAATTTTGGACATTGCATCTGTCATATGCATGGAAATATTCTGTAGATGTACCATAAATCTATGGATATCGATGCATTGTGTTGTCATTAGCACTTTCTTGCCTTCATAGGCTCAAAATATGCCGAAGTTGTTGTTTGGAACTCCTTTGTGTTGCAGCTAGTGGACATAGTCACCCAGTCTAAATGAAACAGGAATTATAGTAAGTGGAAGATTTCTTAGCCTGTCACCTTGCTTAGCATCAAATAGCCTTGCAGCTTCAAAGCCTGATTGCTTCCTACCTGGGGGAATACTTTGTTGGGAGGTGTTAGCTGGCCCTGATTGTTTCCTGTTTGCAATCCCTCTGTTTGCAGGTTGCTCTCTTTATTCACTGTCCTGATTTTAGAGTTTTTTTTAATACTGGTGGTCAGATTTTGTTCATTTTCATTGTTTCTTCCTTTTTGTTGAAATTGTCCACGTGCTTTTTGTGGACTTCTCTGTGTAGCCTGACATGGTGGTTGTGAGAGTGGTCCAGCATTTTTGTGCTCTCCAATAATATGCTGTGTCCAGGTTGGTTACATAAAACTCTAATTTAATATAAGACTATGTCCAACTCTGATTAAACCATTTTTCTAACTTTCTTCAATGTAAATGTGCTTACATATCTTTCCAATAATAATAATAGAGTAAAATAATGTAATAATAAAAATAGAGTAAAATAATAAATGTAATAAAAACAATAAAAACAATAAAATAATGAAAGTAATAAAAACAATAGAGTAAAATAATCAATAGAGTAAAATTCTGGGTACCCAGGATGAGAGAACTGTGAGATGCTGGTTGCGGAAACAGAGTGTCGACTTCTTCTGTGACGGCTTCAGAAAACTTGTTCATTGTATTGTCGAAGGCTTTCATGGCCGGAATCACTGGGTTGTTGTAGGTTTTTTCGGGCTATATGGCCATGTTCTAGAGGCATTTTTCTCCTGACGTTTCGCCTGCATCTATGGCAAGCATCCTCAGAGGTAGTGAGGTGCTATGGGATCAAAGGACAAGGATCCTCTCACCTCTGCAGGAGTCTACCATGTACCATGCAGCTGTGGACAAGTCTACATAGGGACCACCAAACGCAGCGCCCAGACACGCATCAAGGAACATGAAAGGCACTGCAGACTACTTCAACCAGAGAAGTCAGCCATAGCAGAGCACCTGATGAACCAGCCTGGACACAGCATATTATTTGGGAACACAGAAATGCTGGACCACACCAACAGCCACCATGTCAGCTGCACAGAGAGGCCGTTGGGATCCACGGGCATGTGGGCGGTTTCGGCAGAGGGGAGGAGACCATGGAGATGAGCAAGGTCTGGCTACCAGTATTAAAAAACTCAAAAATTACAACAGCAAAACAACAGAGAGTAAACAATCAGGCACATCAATTCACTCTCAACAAGAGATCCCCCCAGGCGCTTCCAGGCCATTGAATGCAAATCAAGGTGATCAGCAGAAACATTACCCTGGTCATTCCACAGATATATAAACCCATTTTTCCTACTTCCAACAGACCTCACTACCTCTGAGGATGCTTGCCATAGATGCAGGCGAAACGTCAGGAGAAAAATTGCCTCCAGAACATGGCCATATATCCCGGAAAAACCTACAACAACCCAATCTGTGAACTCCCTTTCAATTCTATGGTTCTATGTATTTCCCTCAAAAGTAAGGCTCAAGGCAGCCTCAGATACTACAGGTTAGCAGTGGTTCTCAACCTGTGGGTCCCCAGGTGTTTTGGCCTACAACTCCCAGAAATCCCAGCCAGTTTACCAGCTGTTAGGATTTCTGGGAGTTGAAGGCAAAATCATCTGGGGACCCACAGGTTGAGAACAACTAGCGAAAGGAGTCACCTTCTAAGGATTATTTCTATGTTTGGTTTATTAAAATATTCCCATCCAAACCCCAGTTAAAAAAGGTGGAAGCATTACTTTTAATTCAACCCTCGTAACAACATCAACATCATCAACAACAACCCATATTTACTTGAGTCCAATGTGCCATTCAATCCAATGCGCACCCCAACGAATCAAGACATACTTGATGCAACTGAAGATGCAAACCCCGGCCCGAATTGGGCAGAAACAGACGAAAAAGCAGAGCAAAATCAAGAAAAAACAAAACAAGCAAGCCACGCACACAGCTGGACGGAGGAGGGCCGGTGACAAATCGCTAACTGATACAAAGAACCTGAGACGGTGACAAGCTGAAGAACAGGTCAATATCAAGCTGTCACAAAGCCCTCTGAGAAGCATAATTAACCGCTCACTAACCTGGCATCATCATTCATTGTGCAGTGGTCAATGGGAGCCATGAAGCTCACGAGTTTGCTGTGGACGTGATACCTGGAAGAAGAAGTAGAAGAAGAAAAAATAAGACACATGCAGGGAGGGTGGATTGAGGGACTATTTGCAGAGAGGAAAGAGCAAACGCTGCTGCCACAGGAGATGTTGGAGCGGGATGCTCAGATCTTGGGGCTGAATTGGACCCACGTCAACAAGTTGAATATGAGCCAACAGTGTGATGCAGCAGCTAAAAAAGTCAAGGAGATTTTGGGCTGCATCCAAAAAACTACACAGAGAAAGATCAAGTTAAAGACCACATGTATGGTCAAATGGGCACAAAGCGTTGGACACAATACTGAAATGAGTACGTGGGAACGTATGTGGAAAAGGGGGATCCAATATACCTTAACCTATGGCCTCCAAGAGAACGTCTATAAGGTAATGTAACCACAAGAGTAAAATAATAAATGTAATCAAATAATAATAATGAATGTAGTAACAATAATAAATAGAGCAAAATAATAAATGTAATAATAACAATAAAATAATAAATGTAATAATAATATAGTAAAATAATTAATATAATAGTAACAATAATAAATAGAGGAAAACAATAAATGTAATAATAACAATAATAGAGTAAAATAATAAATTTAATAATAATAATATGTATTATCGAAGGCTTTCATGGCTGGAATCACTGGGTTGTTGTAGGTTTTTTGGGTTATATGGCCATGTTCTAGGAGCATTCTCTCCTGACATTTTGCCTGCATCTATGGCAAGCATCCTCAGAGCTCAATTCAAGGTGCTGGTTTTGACCTACAAAACCCTGTACGGTTCCGGTCCAGTGTATCTGTCCGAACGTATCTCCCACTACGTCCCACTCCGGAATTTGAGATCATCTGGGGGGGCCCTGCTCTTGACCCCACCGCTATCCCAAGTGAGGCTGGTGGGGATGAGGAGCAGGGCCTTCTCAGTGGTGGCCCCTCACCTGTGGAACTCACTCCCGGGGAAATTAGGGCATCAACATCCCTCCTCTCCTTCAGGAAGAAGGTAAAGACGTGGTTGTGGGACCAGGCCTTCGGGCAATCTACTAAATAGATAAGGACAACCAGACGAATAGGACTGACAGGACTGACAATTGTGGAATTGGAATTTGAACTATGAGATAGCGAACGCTGACCGGCAACAAGGAGTAATTGGTTTGTATGGATTTTTATTGGTCTTATTGGTTTTATCGGTTTATAGATGTAATGTAGAATTGTGGTTTGATTGCTAATTTGTGCTATTTTGTTTTATTACTGTTGTGTGATACGGGCATCGAATTGTGCCTTGTTTTTGTAAGCCGCTCTGAGTCCCCTGCGGGGTGAGAAGGGCGGAGTAGAAGTAAACCAAATAAACAAATAAATAAATAGATGCAGGCGAAACGTCAGGAGAGAATGCTTCTAGAACATGGCCATATAGCCCGAAAAACCTATAACAATAATAGAGTAAAATAATAAACAGAATAATAATAAATAGAATAATAGCATAAAATAATAAATAAAGAAAAAGTAAAATAATAAATATAACAATAATAAACAGAGGAAAACAATGAATGTCATAATAACAAATAGAGCAAAATAATAAATTAAATAAAAATAAATAGAATAATAGCATAATAATAAAGAGTAAAATAATAAATATAACAGAAAAATAATGAACGTCATAATAACAAATAGAACAAATTAATAAATGTAATAAAAATAATAATAGAATAAAATAATGTAAATGTAATAATAATAATAAGTAGAGTAAAATATTAAATGTAATAATAATAATAACAACAACAGAGTAAAATAATAAATAACCTTGACTTGAGTATAAGCCGAGGAGATCTTTTTCAGCCTAAAAAGGGGGCTGAAAAACTCAGCTTACACTCGAGTCTATACAGTATAGCAGACAAGCCAGGCAAAGATACCCTTTCTCTTCCTTCTTAACAGTAAAAAACACCACAATAAATTAAACAGGCAATTTGCTGCACTTTAATGAAACCCCGAGCCCAACGCCAGAGGCACTTTTTATCCCGGCAGGCTTTTAAAAGAGAAAGTTTTTAAAGAACAGGCTGAGGCTGATGTGCTGCTTTTTTTTCGATGGAAGGGCTTTAATTGCTTCCTATCTTTCAAGAGCATTTTATCTTTCTAACTGTAGCTTTGCAGAAGTTAATAGTGTCAATGGTTTTCTCCCACTTTAAGGTTCGCTTTGCGGAGGGATGTCTTTTGAGCTCTTTCAGTCCATGTTAGTTAACTTTATATAGACTTAGCTGTGTCTATTCTTAAGTGGGGCAGGAGGAAACCCCACCAAGGTTTGGGTCAAGGTGGTGGGGTTCTTGACAGGCCTCTGCGGCTGAATCATGAAGACCTCCCCGACTGTGACAGGAAGGAATATTGATAGTCAATAATTACAGGCTTTTAGGCCCAACAAAGCAGCTCCCCCCTCTTTTCATACATTATATTATGACATCTATCTTAAAAATGGCTCTGACCCGGCCCGACTCCGCTGACTTTCCATTGAGTGCCACCTCGGCTCAAGATTTATCATTGCATTCGCAAAGTATTATATTTTGCTATATTGTATTTTTGGGCTTGGCCTCATGTAAGCCGCTCTGAGTCCCCTTTGGGGAGATGGTGGCGGAGTATAAATAAATATTGCTATTATTATTATTATTATCATCATCATCATCATCATCATCATCATCATCATCATTATTTGAAACCCAAAAAATGAGTCCACAATAGACACTCTGCTGGCTGTTGTATTGGATCACACATCGGACACTTCCATCGTCATCATCATCATCATCATCATCATTTGAAACACAACAAAATGAGTCCACAGCAGACACTCTGCTGGCTGTTGTATTGGATCACACGTCGGAATTTGCATGACCTCACCCACTGCCTCTCCGTTAACCCTCTGACCCCCTTCGATACTGGGCCCAGACCACATTTGGCACAAAGAACCCCCATGACCAGGTTTGGGGTGATTGCCCTGGGAATCTGGGAGTTGTAGTTCACCCTTATCCAGAGAGCACCGAACCCAGAAAACGATGGATCTGGACCAAACTTGGCACACAGACCCAACTGTGCATACTGGCAGGGTTTGGCCATGATTGCCCTGTGAATCTGGGAGTTGTAGTTCACCCTTATTCAGAGAGCACTCCCAACCCACAACAGATCTGGATCAAACTCAGCACACAGATCCAACCTGGCCAAGTGTGCATAGTGGCAGGGATTGGGAGTGATTGCCCTGGGAATCCAGGAATTGTAGTTCACCCTTATCCAGAGAGTATTCCCAGCCAATGACAGATCTGGACCAAACCCGCCACACAGATCCAACATGGTTGACTGTGAATACTGGATGGGTTTGGGGGTGATTGCCCTGGAATCTGGGAGTTGTAGTTCACCCTTCCAGAGAGCATTGAACCCAGCCAATGATGGATCTGGACTAAATTTGGCACACAGACCCAACATGGCCAACTGTGAATACTGGCTGGGTTTGGGGGTGACCCCCCTGGGAGTCTGGGAGTTGTAATTCACCCTTATTCAGAGAACACTGAACCCAGCCGATGACGGATCTAGACCAAACCTGGCACACCGAACCAACATGGCTAACTTCGAATAATGGCAGGCTTTTGGAAGGAATGACTCACGATTCGGGGAACTGTAGATCACCCACATCCTTATGTGTTTTTAAATGGGAACATTCATACAAAAAACAAAAGCAAAGACTGGCTTTTTTCTAATTAATATCAGTTTGCTAATACAGTGTTCCCTCATTTATCATGGATGTTACGTCCCAGGACTATGTGCAAAAAGTGAAAATCCACAAAGTAGGGACACTCTATATGTATATCGCGTTTCGAGGGTGAGGCAGAAATGAGGAGAGATTTAAAGGCACCTCACACCTTTTTTTTGCTAGCTAGCTATCTCTGCTTTGCTTTGCAATCTCTCTTGATTGGCTGCCTCTCTCAGGAGGTGGGATTGGAACGCTGCTCTGGGCAACAGCAACCATTCATAAACTGGGAGGCAAAAACCCGCGAAAAAGCAAGTCCGCAAAAAGCGAACCGTGAAGTAGCGAGGGAACATTACCAAACGGATATTATCAAACTTCGAAAAACATACCATGCCTTTTTCAAATAACCCAGGCATCGCCAGATACCCACGCTAGTTAAGTAAGAACAGCATAGTAAATAGAAGCAGATGCTAAACGCGTATGGGGCAGGTTTCCAAATGAAAAGCAAGCTGACGCTGCTCCACTCACCGGATTTTCCTCCCTTTGCTGGCCTTGGTATCCACCTTCTTCCGGATTTTGCTCCGCAGTTTCTGGATGGCCAACCATTGCCTGGGAAATGGGAGAGACAGAAAAAGCAGAATTAAACAGAAACAATGGTTCCTCCTTCATTGCACAGTTCTTTATAGAAAAAAATGCATTGCAGGCTTCTATGTTTTCAAAGAATCCTAGAGTTGGAAGAGACCTGGTGGGTCATCCAGTCCAACCTCATTCTGCCAAGAAGCAGGAAAATCCCATTCAAAGCCCCCCCGACAGATGGCCATCCAGCCTCTTTTTAAAAGCTTCCAAAGAAGGAGCCTCCACCACACTCCGGGGCAGAGAGTTCCACTGCTGAACAGCTCTCTCACACAGTCAGGAAGTTCTTCCTCATGTTCAAGTGGAATCTCCTTTTTTCCCTGTAGCTTGAAGCCATGTCTCAATTGTGTCGTAGTCTCCAGAGCAGCAGGAAACAAGCCTGCTTCATCTCCCTAAGACTTATATAATAATAATAATAATAATAATAATAATAATAATAATAATAATAATAATAAATCATTATTATTATTAAGTTTTCTATTACCAACTGTTACATATTATTATTATTAAGTGCTACCAACTATTACATATTACTATTATTATTATTAAGTTTTCTATTACCAACTATTACTTTTTACTATTATTAGGTTCGCTATTACCAACTATTACATAGTATTATTATTATTAGGTTCGCTATTACCAACTATTACGTAGTAGTATTATTATTATTAGGTTCGCTATTACCAACTATTACGTAGTAGTATTATTATTATTAGGTTCGCTATTACCAACTTTTATGTATTATTATTATTATTAGGTTCGATATTACCAACTATTACATAGTATTATTATTATTAGGTTCACTATTACCAAGTATTACGTATTATTATTATTATTATTGCTAGGTTCGCTATTACCAACTGTTACGTATTGTTATTATCATTAGGTTCGCTGTTACCAACTATTACATATTATTATTATTATTATTATTAGGTTCACTATTACCAACTATTACGTATTATTATTAGTATTAGGTTCATTATTACCAACTATTACGTAGTAGTAGTAGTAGTATTAGGTTCGCTATTACCAGCTATTACTTATTATTATTATTATTATTATTATTATTATTATTATTATTAGGTTCGCTATTACCAACTATTACGTATTATTATTATTATTATTATTATTATTATTATTATTATTATATTATTTGAAACACAACAAGATGATTCCACAGCAGACACTCTGCTGGCTGTTGTAGTGGATCACAAGTCGGACACTTCCCAAGTGTCTAGGACTGTGTGATGTATCGGCGAATAATGCATGCAGATCCCAGTAAGGTGACCTTCTGCAGCTGGCAGGTGGTAATTCTGTCAGCGCCTATTGTGTTTAAGTGCAGGCCAAGGTCTTTAGGCACTGCACCCAGTGTGCCGATCACCACTGGGACCACTTTGACTGGCTTGTGCCAAAATCTTTGCAGTTTGCTCACACATGTACTACGCACACCTGCTCTCCCCTCCCACTTGGGAGTCTCAGAAACAGCCCTCTCCTTGACTGTTTTTTGATAGTCCTTGGAGACCCCTCTTCCCAATGGCCAGTCAACAGCCAATCTAGCAGATTGCAAACCCTCGCCAAGAGGACTGCCTTTCCTCTTTGTCCTTTTCCCTTCCCGTCCGCTTTTCCTTTCCTGCTGTGCCATTTGTAGGAATGTGAGCTGGAGGCCACAGACTGGCTTTGTAAATTGCTCAGGGAGCCTTACAAGGTGTACGGAAGATTTAAATGCTCAAAATAAATACATAACACAGCCAACGTTAAAGCTCATTTCAAGCTCATTCCCTGCGTGCCTAGAGTAGGATGTAATGCGGGAGGGGGAGGTAAACACAGATACATATACATACCACATTTCTAAATCCGGTTTAATGAACATTTAAGAACAGCCACCGGCTATAATTTGGAAGCACATTTGAAAAACAACAAGAGCATAGAGGGAGGGCGAAAGGGAGGCAATAATAAACAAACAAACACACAAAACCAAATGAAAATGGGGGCGTACAGTGTGAAAAGAGCGGCATTTGCTGCCGGAAAAGCCATTTGCCGCAATATGAAAAGCTAAGGCGCGTTGGCAAAACCGTTTCCAGCCTCGTTAAAATATTGCCTGGCTTTGCGGAAGGAGCCAAGTTTATTTGGTGCTCGGTCTGGGATGTTGCGGACGCTCCGCTGCAATTTCGCAGGATGCAGCCCCCTCCGCCCGCAAAATAAAATAATAATGTTTTTTAAAAATCCAAAATAACACCCTGCACTTAAGTAGTGATTACACTGCACATTTATCTGACTTTACAATAAAATAGATTACAGTAATTAAGATTATATTAAGATTGTGGTAATTGGATTTTGAGATTTCCCCCACCGCTTCGACGAGTAAATCAGGTAAAGGCGGTGCCAGTTTCGAGCTTAAAAATAAAAATGTTTGTAACTAGCCGCAGAGTGTATTTTTCCTCGCCTCCTCCCGTTCCCTGCAAAACCGAGCACATGAAGAGCTGCAGTCCTGAGTCATTTCCTCCGATTCCTCTAGGCAGCGAGTACGAGAAATCCATCCACATAGCTATCAACCTTATGAATCTCAAAAAAATATGACTAATTATACTGCTACTATCAAGATAGTAGGGCCGTGGTGGAGCTGCTGGTTAAACCGCTAAGCTGCAGAACTTGTTGATCGGAAGGTCAGCAGTTCAAATCCACGGACGGGGTGAGCTCCCATTGTTAGCCCCAGCTTCTGCCAATCTAGCAGTTTGAAAACAGGCAAATGTGAGTAGATCAATAGGTACCGCTTCAGCGGGAAGGTAATGGCACTCCATGCAGTCATGCTAGCCACATGACCTTGGAGGCGTCTATGGACAACGCCGACTCTTCAGCTTAGAATTGGAAATGAGCGCCAGAGTCCCAGAGTCGGTGTATAACTGAAGTATGCAACTATAGCTACAGTAGAGAGCTATTTCTGACCTGTGACTCTGGGACCCAATTAGACTGATTAAAAAAAATGCTACCAGGCTAAAAAATATTATTATTATTATTATTATTATTATTATTATTATTATTATTATTATTATTATTTACAGTATTTATATACCACTTTTCTCACCCCTGGGGGGACTCAAATCCTTGTTTTTAAATCCTTGTGTGTTACTATTTACATGTGAGTTATATTAATTGTCATCTCTGTCGTGCCCATTGTCATCTCTATTGTGATTGTGTCTATTGGATTTTTATTTTATCATTACTATTATTATTTTAATGTCATTTTGATAATGTTGTTATTGTCTGATGTATATGCTTTGATTTTATTGCTGTATTATGTTGTCCGGGCTTGGCCCCATGTAAGCTGCTCTGAGTCCCCATCAGGGAGATGGTGGCGGGGTAGAAATAAAGTTTATTATTATTATTATTATTATTATTATTAATTATATTGTTTTTGCTTATTGCTTCTTGTTTTATTGATGTGTTGTCGGGCTTGGCCTCATGTAAGCCGCTCTGAGTCCCCATCAGGGAGATGGTGGTGGGGTAAAATAAAGTTTATTATTATTATTATTATTATTATTATTAATTATTTTTTTGTTTGTTGATTTTATTGTGCTGTGTTGCATTTTTGGGCTTGGCTTCATGTTAGCCGCCCCGACTCCCCATCAGGGAGATGGTGGCGGGGTATAAATAAAGATATTATTATTATTATTATTATTATTATTATTAATAATAATAATTGTATTGTTTTTGCTTATTGTTTTTTGTTTTATTGATGTGTTGTCGGGCTTGGCCTCATGTAAGCCACTCTGAGTCCCCTTGGGGAGATGGTGGGGGTATAAATAAAGTTGTTGTTATTATTATTATTATTATTATTATTATTATTATTATTAAAGCGGTTTTACACATAGATGGCAAAATACAATGCCTTGCATTGGGCACCTGACATGATGCCAATACATAACAGTTACAATAAAAACCACAATTAACATAAATCATAAATTAAACAATACAACAACAACATTAAAACAATAAAACAGTCTCGCCAGTCGGATTGCCATTCCAGTCTATGTCTCTCTAAAACTCTACATACATCGATTGTCCGAAGGCCTGGTCCCAAAACCAGTTTTGCATTTTTTTTTCTCCTGCATAACTGTCTCAGTTTCCCTTATATCAGAGGTCCTCAAACTTTTTAAACAGAGGGCCAGGTTACAGTCCCTCAAACTGTTGGAGGGCCGGATTATAACTTGAAAAATTCCTATGCACACTGCACAGATCTTGTTTGTAGTCCAAAACTTACTTAAAAACAATACAATAATTAAAAAGAACAATTTTAACAAATATAAACTTATTAATATTTCATTAGGAAGTGTGAGCCTGCTTTTGGCTGATGATATAGGATTGCTGTTGCTGTTGTGTACTTTCAAGTCATTTCAGACTTAGGTCGACCCTGAGTGAGGGCCGGGTAAATGAACTTGGAGGGCCGTATCCGGCCCCCGGGCCTTAGTTTGAGGACCCCTGCCTTATATCTTCAGCCTCTCAGATTCTCTCTCCCCCTACAGCCTCACATCTCATACACAAGTTGCGAATGAATGAAATATTAGAGAGGTGTGAGGATGGAGAGAGGTGGGAAGATTTGCAAGAAGGCAAGAGGCAGATCTGCACCGAGCATTACATTTGCATTCTCACCATTTCACAGATATTCCAAAATAAACATACAGGAAACAGCAAACAGGCTTGACATGAAACAGGCCAAATAAAGTGCCATGAGGAAAAAGAGGTAGCCAATAGGCTTGGTTGATCCAAAAAAAATGGATCAACCCTGTTTCATTGGGTGGTCTTTACTTTGAAAGCAGTTGTTTTACTGCAGAAGCGCGGGAAAAGCAAGCAGAGGATATTCCTTCCTTCTCTGGTTTAAACTGGCTTCTCTGGCTTGATCCGAGGCCAGGAAATTCCTTCCTTCTCTGGTTTAAAATTGGCTTCTCTGGCTTGAGCCGAGGCCAGGGACCAGAAGTGGGGGGAAAAGCAAGCAGAGGAAATTCCTTCCTTCTCTGGTTTAAAACTGGCTACTCTGGCTTTAAAACTGGCTTCTCTGGTTTGATTCGAGGCTAGAAAATTCCTTCCTTCTCTGGTTTAAAACTGGCTTCTCTGGCTTAAGCCGAGGCCAGGAAATTCCTTACTTCTCTGGTTTAAAATTGGCTTCTCTGGCTTGAGCCGAGGCCAGTGACCAGAAGTGGGGAAAAGCAAGCAGAGGAAATTCCTTCCTTCTTTTGTTTAAAACTGGCTACTCTGGCTTTAAAACTGGCTTCTCTAGCTTAAGCCGAGGCTAGGAAATTCTTTCTTTCTCTGGTTTAAAACTGGCTTCTCTGACTTGAGCCGAGGCCAGGGACCAGAAGCGGGGAAAAGCAAGCGGAGCAAATTCTTTCCTTATCTGGTTTAAAACTGCCTACTCTGGCTTTAAAACTGGATTCTCTGGCATGAGTTGAGGTTAGGAAATTCCTTCCTTCTCTGGTTTAAAACTGCCTACTCTGGCTTTAAAACTGGATTCTCTGGCTTGATTCTCTGGTCAGGAAATTCCTTCCTTCTCTGGTTTAAAACTGGCTTCTCTGGCTTGAGCCGAGGCCAGGGACCAGAAGTGGGGAAAAGCGGAATAATTTCCGACTCACTTTGTGAGTCGTAACAAAAATGGCGGAAAAAGCTTCGGAAGGGGAAAGGGACTCCCCGTTTTTAAAAAGAGCTTCAATATTGCTTCAAAAAGGTAATTTTAACGAAATTATTACGAGCAACGAGTTAGCCAAGCGACTCTATCCATGCCTAGTAGTTTATTCGATGCTTAGACCATAGGTCTTTCACATACAAGGCAAGTCAAATAAATAAAAACATGAGCACCAGATTATTAAATACAATATAAAATACTCAATAAAGTCCTATAAATCATTAAAATGCCATGCCTAGTGGCCAATGCAAAGAAAGCCCTGCTTTGAATGCCTGGCAAAAGGGGTCCTGGCCAGAATATAGTGGAATAGTCTCCGTTCATAACAAAACGATGCTAAATGCAGTGTCCTTACCTGCCCATCGCCACTTGGTCATTTGGATCCAATGAGCTGGTTTTACGTTCAATAAGTTCCCGGAGGAGCTACAATGGGAAAAAGAAAGAGACATTTAGCGTAAGGATTCTCAATCTGCCAGCTAGTTTCAGAGGATCTCTCTTAGCTTTTGACTATGAGGATGGGAGTGAGACTCGGCACACTCCTGTGTCTCACTCCCCTCTTTCTCTTCTCCTGGCCTTTAATTTCGACCTTGTTTTAAGACAAGGGTTCTCTGTTATGTCCCAGCCAACAGAATCCTGGCTTAAGGCCACTTAAGGAACCAGTGTAAAGGAAATAATCAGAAGAGATCGCAAACAATGATTTATGAAACCGGGAAGACGGATGGGCTCGCCTTAATCGGGATTCTCTTAACACCAAGCTAATTCAGAAAGCCTCCCACATTACCTTTTAAAAATTATGATAAATGCTTTGCAGATAAAAGGAGTTAGCTCAAGCAAAGGACAAGATGCATGGGCTTGACAGGGGACTCTATGGCCAACTTTTGGCAGCTCAACACAACTCTTTGCCTAGCATGTCAACTGAACTGATCATCTCACTTTCCCACTTTAGCTTTCACACTTGTACACAGATATTGCAACTGCAATGGCTTGGGCGATGTCAAGTTTGACATGGAATGGTATCTGTAGCAAATAAACAGAACAGAAACTAATATAAATGCATTGCAGTATTATTATTATTATTATTATTATTATTATTATTATATGCTTTGCAGATAAAAGGAGTTAGCTCAAGCAAAGGACAAGATGCATGGGCTTGACAGGGGACTCTATGGCCAACTTTTGGCAGCTCAACACAACTCTTTGCCTAGCATGTCAACTGAACTGATCATCTCACTTTCCCACTTCAGCTTTCACACTTGTACACAGATATTGCAACTGCAATGGCTTGGGCGATGTCAAGTTTGACATGGAATGGTATCTGTAGCAAATAAACAGAACAGAAACTAATATAAATGCATTGCAGTATTATTATTATTATTATATATTATTATTATTATTATTATTATTATTATTATTATTATTATTATTATTATTCTGCATTGCAGTAGTATTATTATTATTACACAAAAACAATGTCACAGCAAATGAGATATATATGCTGGATCACAAAATCACAAGTTGAACACTTGTGCCCTAAATAATAATAATAATAATAATAATAATAATAACAATAATAATAATAATAATAATAATAATAATAATAATAATAAATAATAATAATAATAATAATAATAATAATAATAATAATAATAATAATAATAATAATAATAATAATAATATTATTTAGGGCATTTATATCCCATTCTATCTCACCTCTGCAGAGGGACTCAGGGCAGGTAACAACTGGCACAGCACAGTGTCCACAATAAGAAAAGCATAGATTTACATATCTATATAAATAAAAATGTAGTTCATTTGTGGGATTAACAGAACTCAAAAACCACTGGACGAATTGACACTAAATTTGGACACAAGACACCTAACAAGCCAATGTATGTCCTTCACTCAAAAAAATGATTTTGTCATTTGGGAGTTGTAGTTGCTGGGATTTATAGTTCACCTACAATCAAAGAGCATTCTGAACCCCACCAACGATGGAATTGAACCAAACTTGGCACACAGTTCTCTCATGACCAACAGCAAATACTGGAAGGGTTTGGTGAGCAATGTCCTTTGGTTTTGGAGTTGTAGTTCACCTACATCCAGAGATCACTGTGGACTCAAACAATGATGGATGTGGATCAAACTCTACACGAATACTCAATATGCCCAAATGTGAACACTGGTGGAGTTTGGGGAAAATAGAATCTTGACATTTGGGAATTGTAGTTGCTGGGATTTATAGTTCACCTACAATCACAGAGCATTCTGAACCCCAGCAACGATAGAATTGGGCCAAACCTCACAGACAGAACCTCCATGTGGGCCACAGCAATGCATGGCAGGGGGCAGCTGGTATATAAATAAAAATGTAATGTTCGTTTGTGGGATTAACATAACTCAAAAACCACTGGACGAATTGACACCAAATTTGGACACAAGACACCTATCAGGCCAACAAGTGACCATCACTCATAAAAACACTGAAAAACACAGAAGAAGGGACTTAAAAGCCAAAAAACAAAAATTACAGTACAACGCAGGCGTGAAACCACATATATACGCAAACACATATATACACAAATATATACACAGAAAACACACATACACTGACTGGGCCACAGCAATATGTGGCAAGGGGCAGCTAGTTATATAATAAAAACAATATAAAACAATAATAAAACATTAAACACAATGCCGAATTCAGTCGTCATTCTAAAAGCAATCCATCATAGTCCATTAAAAGCGTAGTTTTGCCAGGAAGTCAGTCTAGTCCGCAAAGACCTGATCCCAGATCCAGGATTTCACTTTTTTTTTTCAGAAGGACAGGAGAGATGGAACAGATCTGAATTCCATAGCTGAGGAGCCACCACGGAGAAGGCCTTGTCTCTTGTCCCCACCAAGCGCGATGGCAATGGTGGGGAGACTGAGAGCAGGGCCTCCCCTGATGATCTTAAGGTCCTAGGTGGCTCGTAGCTGGAAATATGTTTGGATAGGTAAACTGGGCCAGAATCATTAAGGGCTTTATAGGCCAAAGCCAGCACTTTGAATTGTGCTCGGAATCATACAATCATAAGAGTTGGAAGAGACCTCATGGGCCATCCAGTCCAACCCCCTGCCAAGAAGCAGGAATACTGCATTCAAAGCACCCCTGACAGATGGCCATTCAGCCTCTGTTTAAAAGCTTCCAAAGAAGGAGCCTCCACCACACTCCGGGGCAGAGAGTTCCACTGCTGAACAGCTCTCACAGTCAGGAAGTTCTTCCTAATGTTCAACAACATAGGGGACAGTATGGATGCACATTTACAGCCATTTCCCGAGCTACAAACACCCAACTTACAAAGGACTCCCAGTTAAGAATGGACAGTAAATAAAGACGAACACTCAGGAAACGGGAATTCCAGACAGGAAACAATAAGGGCTAGCTAACAAAGGACTCCCCCAGGCAGGAAGCAGCCAGGCTTTGAAGCTGCAAGGCCTTTCAATGCTGATCAAGCTGGCCAGTCTCAACATTCACACTTGCCTCAAGCAGGCAAGAGTTCTTTCACCCACCCTGGGTATTTGTCTTTTGAGAAACTGCAAGTCGCTTTTGGTGTAAGAGAATTAGCCGTCTAAAAGGACGTTTCCCAGGGGAGGCCATATGTTTTGATGTTTAACTATCCCTTGTGGGAGGCTTCTCTCATGTCCCCATATGGGGAGCTGGAGCTGACACAAGGACTCAACCTGCTCTCCCTGGATTCGAACCGCTGACCTGTTCGTCAGCAGTCCTGCCGGCGCAAGGATTTAGCCCATTGTATCCCACCCTAACAAATATATATATTTCTGGCTGGAGTTACACTTAAAAATATAGCTGTTCCAACTTACATACAAATTCAACTTGAGAACAAACCTGCAGCAACGATCTTGTTCGTAACTTGGGGACGTGAAAGCTTGTGTGCTAATAAATTAGGTAAAGGTATTTTCCCCTGACATGAAGTCCAGTCGTGTCAGACTCTGGGGTGTGGTGCTCATCTCCATTTCTAAGCCGAAGAGCCGGCATTGTCCGTAGACACCTCCAAAGTCACGTGGCCAGCATGACTGCATGGTGCACCGTTAATAAATTTGTAATTTAATAGTGTCACTGAATCACAATAAGATGCCCACCCATTCAGGAATGGTATATCAAATAAATATTATGTCCTTCCTCTTTAAAAAAAAACATATTCTCTCTTCAACAACTGAAAAAAGAACTCTCTCACACACACAAAAAAAATGCCAGTAATCCCTTCCCCATAGTGTTTGTCCCCTCCCTTGTTTGCATATCCCTGCCATCCCTTGAAGTTGTTATTACGGTGGCAATTACATTCAGATCCGTCCAGAGAGAAAGCCGCTTTGTTCTCGGAGGGGAGAAGACGGAGGAAGAGCCCGCAACCCAGCAAGCCTCCTTTCCTTCTCTCTTTCTCTCTCTCCCTGGCTCTCCCTGCCCTGTTTATCTGATTGATTCTCCAACATCTTCCTGGCACACAATCTATCAGTTTATCTCTCCCACTTCATCACAGTCACTCCTGGCAGCTAAATACAAGCGCCCAAGCCAGCCCGACGCAGACGGGAGACACGCTGAACCGATGTCGCTCTGTAAACAATTTGCCCTCCGAGGGCTGGGCTGGAAAGGGGCTGCTCAGTTCCCCGTCAATATCCCACTTCCAGAGACCACCATGATTCCCACCGACGACGCATCTGGACAAAACTTGGCACACAGATCCCCCATGATCAACAGAAAATACTGGAGAAGTTTGGGGAGGATTGGGCCGAGAATTTTGGACTTATAATTCACCTAATAATAATCTATATAAATAAAAAAATTAATGTTCATTTGTGGGATTAACAGAACTTAAAAACCATTGGGCAAATTGACATCAAATTTGGACACAAGACACGTATCACGCCAATGAGTGTCCATCAGTCATAAAAACACGGAAAAAACACAGGGGGAGAGACTTTAAAAGTCCAAACCCTTCCCAATACATTACAATGCATGCACAAAACCACACATATATATACACAAGCACACATATATACGTATACACACACAAAACACATGCACAGAAAAGGGGAAGGAAGGAAGGAAGGAAGGAAGGAAGGAAGGAAGGAAGGAAGGAAGGAAGGAAGGAAGGAAGGAAGGAAGGAAAAGGAGGAGGAGAAGGAGAGAGAGAAAGAGGGAAAGAAGGAGGGAAGGAAGGAAGGAGAAGGGAGAAGGAGAGAGAAGGAGGGAGAGAAAGGGAAAGAAGAGGGAATGAGAGAAAGAAAGAAGGTTAGAGAAAGAAGGAAGGAGAGAAGGAGAGAGAGAAAGAGGGAAAGAAGGAGGGAATAGTAGAGAAGGAAGGGAGAAGGAGAGAGAAGGAGGGAGAGAAAGAGGAAAAGAAGGAGGGAAGGAGAGAAAGAAAGAA